AACCATTCCGTCGGGTTTTGTAACCGTTAGATCATCATATAATCGTCAGAGATAGTTGATCTAACGGTTACAAATCCCGTCGTAATAGTTTCGTAACGGTACCATATCATCTTTCATTATTACAATTGCTTTTGTGAAGGGGCTTGTATAAGGATGTGTAGAGATAGAAATATTTAGAGAAATAATAATGACGAGATAAAAAGTAGACAAGTGTTTAAGAAATTTTAATCTTGAAAGCATATCTTTAAGTTTGAAAGTTTGAAGATTGTGTTGTGAAAAAAGGAGGAGAAAAACATCGCTGTCAAACTAGAAAAAAAAAAAAAGAAAAAAAAAATGGTTAAATTAAATTAATCATCCGGTTAGAGTGCAGTGACTGCTCTACCAACAAGCATGTATATATAATTTAGTACTAATTAATACGAGTATTCTTGATTTAAGCCTGAAATAGGAATTAATTATAAATTCGTTACTCAAAAGTCAAAAATAAATTTTAACAATTTAGAATTTTAAAAATCTAACACTATTTATTTAAAATTTCAGTTTTGAGATCCGAACTCAGAATAGGAATCAACTATCAATTCGGGACTTTTGAAGGTAAAATGAAAATTATTAAAATATAAATTAGAATTCCAAATTGAATTTTTATCTATTTGTGAGTATCATGAAACTATCTTGAAACTATTTTGTGACTATCTCGAGTTGTGAGAAATGGAAAATCATTCGATGGCTCCATAAAATTTTTGTTTTGATTGTATCCAATTTAGATTTGTTATGACTTTTTAAAACTTTTAAAAATCGGATATTAAAGTCTTTCGAAATCTCGATGTATTTAACTTATTTGACACTAGTATTTGTTAAGACTTTGTAAAATTTCGTGAGATTTCTAAGCAAAATACCTTATACGAAATATCTCGCTTGAAATCCCACATCTATATATCTATATATATATATATATATATAATTACTAACAAATTGCATTTAATAAAACCTATTTAATTTTTCCTATGTGGCAATTTAATCTTTTTCCCTCAAAAAACCGTTACTTTTGATGTATTTAATATTTCATTTGATTATTAAATAATCAATAATAATCACTTCAAAATTACAAAAATCATTTTATAACTTTTGATTACTGACAGTTGACCATAATGTGTTGACCGTATAATGTAATTAGATGTTATTATTGTGGTTACATTTAAATTAGTTTTTATATAAAAACATATTTGAAATTCTTAAATAAATAATAAATAATTCACAAAAAATACCAAAATATACATTACATCCAATCAGATAAACACAATTTAAAAAAAAATATATATTTTAAATTCTTTAATTGTAAATTTGGCCAGCAAAAAGGTGAAAGAAAAAGAATTAATCATTATATGCATACAAATAGCTTACAATACTTTATTTACATTTGTGCAAATGCACATGGTCGAATACTAGTCTAGACTTAATATTTCACAACATACCTTCAAAATCCAAAATATTAAAAAGTCTTAAAATGTTACTTAAAATCCCAGTTGAATACACCGGCTCATAATAATCCAATTTTCCTTAATTTAAAATGTGATTAGTAAAAAAAAAGAAAATGTACTCTAAAAATGTCGTAAAAGATACTTTATAATATACATAAATTATAGATCTAAAAAATTAACCTTTAATTTTAATCCACACCTTTACAATTCATTGTTTATTACTGTGGTGAATGTGATTTGTCCCATATTATTGCATTAATTTCGCTTTTTTTTTTAAAAAAAAATATAAAAAAAAATAAAAAAAAATATTGGGTGCACTTAATTTATAAAGCACGGCCAGAAAATGAAAAGCAAAAAAACCGTCAAAAGTTTCAGCTGAAAAATCAAAGATACCCAATTTATCTTTAATAATATTTTTGCAACCAAATTATTGTGTTATTTGACTTAATAGTGCCAGGCCTCTATGTCTCCACCTCCATAAATAATTAATTGTCCATTCGTTTTGTTCCTTTCTAAATAATAATAACTTTCATTTGGTTCTTTGTTGAGAAATGTTACAGTTCCGTTACAGAATTATTCCGTCGAGATTTATAATCGTTATACAATCATGTAATCGTCGTGAATAATTGATCTAACGGTTACAAATTTCGACGAAATGGTTCAGTAACGAAATTGCAGAATCTCCCCTCTTTTTTCGCTTCTTTTCCACTTTTTACGAGGATCAAAATTTTCATGTAAAAGTTAGTCTTTATAGGTTGGTGAATCTAAACTTACCAATTTTAACATGGTAATAATTATTTTTATTGTGCTTGTCATGACTCGGTATAAGGTGGGTAATGGGTTACATTGAATTTTTTTCACCATTAATCTAATAGGTTTTACCATTTTTCCTGTTAGACATTTTTTTTTTTTTTTTGGTACAATGAAGGAGGCCGAAGGCCTAAGTGCTAGGCTAAGACGTGTCGGGGGTATGAAACCCCGATTAAATCATGCGTGAGCCACTGGCCCAGACTAGGAGGAGGAGTATCCAACACCTGAAAACCGATCGGATAAGAAGCGGCTAAACCGGCCAAATGGTCAGCACCAAAGTTGGCCTCTCTATGAACGTGACGAACATTAATACGCCACTCTTTGCGGAGCAATTGGCGGATGGCAGAGACCAAGGCTGCATGCGCCCCACAAACATCAGTAGAGCCAAGTACCATCTGTACGACGCACTGACTATCGACCTCCACAAGAACACTGCGGAAACCCCTATCCCACGCAAGTTGTAGGCCCTGGAAAAGACCCCACAGTTCGGCCCCAGTGATCGTGCAGTAGCCTATATTCATTAGAAATCCCACAGCCCATCTACCCATCTCATCCCGAATCAGCCCACCGGCGCTACTGAGTTCAGAAGACCTATTAAAAGCTCCATCAATCGGTGGAAAATCGGAATCGGGGGCGTCCGGGGGGTCGACGCCTGGGTCGACCGTGACCGTGATCGGAGAGGATGCGAAGGGAGGGTTTGCGTCGCTCATAGCTTCCAGAGGCTTCCTGTTAGACATTGACGTTGAGGGAATGTAAAGTGGTTGATATCTATATATATATAATTACTGACTCATGAGCATTTAATAAAACCTATTAAATTTTACCTATGTGGCAATATAACTTTTCCCTCCAAAAACCGTTACATTTTGTTTATTTCACCTCTCATTTAATTATTAGATAATCAACACATTAATCACTTCAAAATTAAAAAATCATTTTAAACTTTTGATTTACTTACACTTGACCATATAATGCGTTGACTATTTAACGTGATTAGATGTTATTGTTGTGGTTACATTTAAATTAACTTATTTTGAAAAATAAAAAAACGTATTTGAAATTCCTAAATAAATAATAAATAATTCACAAAAAAAATACATACCAAAATATACACTACATACTACATCCAATATAATAAACACAATTTAAAAAAAATAACTATTCCAACTCCTTAAATTGTAAATGTGGCGTGCAAAAAGTGCAAGAAAAATTATTAATAATTATATGCATACAAATAACTCACAATACTTTATTTATATCTGTGCAAGTGCACAGGTCGATTACTAGTTGAATTAACATTCATATTCATATTTCATAGCATTCATATGTCATGACTCGGTCATATTTCATACCTTGGTTGATCAACAGTAAAAAAATTCGATACCAACAGTTAAGGTTGTAAACGATCTGAGTCAAGATCGAGTTCAAGCCCCTTAACGAGCCAAAAATGGAGTTCGGGCTCAGCTCATTTATCAATATTAACGATTCGAGTTCGAGCCTTAACGAGCCGAACTATAAGAAATTATATAAAAGTTCTTTTTCCGAGCCTTACAGTGTCAAACTCACGAGTGACTCGTAATGTGTAACATCTCTAATTGTAGTTGTAGTGTTCTCACCAATAGATTGAAATTTATTCCTATTATACAAACTTTGGTATTATGGATGCATATTACTATGTTTGGTAACCAAATAAACTAACTTATAGCTTACTTGGTTAATTATAAGCTCCTGTATTCAAATGAGTTTCGTTTTGTTAGGACGAAGTTTCTTAAGAAGCTCGAGTTTATCTCACTAAGCTTATTTGAGCATCTTTTCAAATAATTTTGTTAATATTTTTTATTTCAGCTAGCGGAGGACCTTTCTGGGTATCCAGCCAGAGTCCGCATCCTCCTTCCTCTACAACCGCTTAACATCCTTCGCATACAAGTAGATGGCTATGCACGACTGTATCAGCTAATTTTAGCCAACACTTTTATCATATAAGCTAGTTTTTTACTAATAAGTCATAAACTATCAGCTATAACTTCGAGATTCACTTAAAAGCTATAAAATTAGCTTATCTAAGTTTACCAAATATTGCCTAAGCTACCTCTTTTAGCAACTTTTTTGAAGTTATAGCTAAATTCATACTCTAGCAAGTATTTTCAAATGAAAATAAGTAAAACTACACACAATCAAGAAAAAGCCATGGATTCATTATATGATTTGCATATTGGTTTGCTCGCATAATCATATCGAATTTAATCCATGAGTGTGTTGGAGGATTTTTTGTTATAAGTATTTACCAGTATTAATACTCATGTACAACATGGGTGTTGAGTTAATGAATATATGTGTAAAGTTATTTATGTCTAATACCAAACCTAACTTCAAAGCAAAAATAATATAAAAACAACATCACGAAGCATAAATTTTCGTCATGTCAGCATCCGAAGCATGAGAATCTGCCACCTAAGCTCAATACGATTTGAATTAATATATAGAGGGAGATTTTTTTTAGTTGTAATATAAATAAAAGTGACAAAATGACGGAGGGAATAATAATTATATATATGGTTTTATTCATTTAATTTCAAAAAAGTGGTGTTAAAAAAAAAAAAAAAAAAAGCGTGCCCTTAAAAATCAAGCACTTTTTTGACCAAACAATTCCGGTTGGTTGCACAGAGTTTTTCCAACCACAAGAAATTGTTGAAATGGTCAAGTATCAAGTGTTTTCTTGTCTGGGCTTAATTACAAATAGATCCGTTTAGTTTTTACAAATTACAAACACCCCCCTTGAGGTTGCTTTTTCTGTGTAGCTAGGCTTAATTTTTGTATATAACTGTGATTTATGGCAATAGTTAACTTTGATAAATTACAAACACCCCCTTTTCAAACTCAGAATGTGCAGAATAAACTCAAAATCATACATTCATAGTTCAATGCATTACAATATAGTTTGCAGCAAAAAAAAAATCTGAAACTCACTATGCCTTATTAACAAAACTGCATACATATAATAATATGAAACTTAGTTTTAATTTCACATTTCAGTATAAAACCAACACATATTTATTGAAAAATTAAATTATGACTCCAACTAATGTACTATTTACCTAATAACAACACTTGTACAAACAAACGTACAATGTGGAAAGAAAATCCTCAACAATCTCTTAATACATGACAAACGTGTGCATGCCACATAAGCAGTGGACATATTAACATGTGCCAACTGTGGGTAGGAGAGCATTATCGATTATATTGTACCAATAGTGTGATAGTAGCATATTAATATTTCTATTTAATTAATAATAAGCTAAATCAACAACATTTCTTAATTCTTCAATAAAAACATATTCAGATTGTCCGTTGGAAATACACAGTAACACAGACCTTTCAATTTCACGAGTACCTGCATTTACACCCTTTCACATCCTCACGTGTGCCAACAGTCCCACCCACAGAAGTTGGGCCCAAGCGTTTCATTTCCACGTTTAAGCCCAACACCCGTGTATTGGGCCATTGGCTCAGCTTACGCTTTCCTTATTGATGGAGACGAGACCGCGATAGCATTTTTAAATAAATATGATCGTCTTTTTATCTAGCATTTTATTTTTATTAGTTGTCTTTTATTTAGTATTGGGCTTTCTTTGTTATTTGGTGGTTATTGGATCTTTATTTATTGGGCTTTGCAGTAGGAGTAATTATCTGATGTATAAGAATAATCGTCTCTCATTGAGAGAGCAGACTTTGATGAATAACAATTGAAATTTATCGTGAGAATTGTTCTTGTTCTTCCTGCTCATACAAACGCTCTACATCACTTATTGAGCTCTCTACAATTGGACCTGGCCCGTTAACAGAACACCACTACAAAGTAGTCCTGAAGAATCAGTCATATTAACGAAATGATTCATAAAGCATTCATGGAGAAGCATTGCCAACAGTACTCGAAAGTTCACACAAAATGGTCCCAATAAAGTCCATATAAAAACATGTAGCCATCACAATGGGTCAGATTAAAATGTAATCAGTTACAGCAGGAAACTCATCAAAACCTAAGAAAGATATAACAATAATCAAAACAGATGATATGATACATGGAACCGTTGCAACCGGAATTAAGCAGCTTCTATTTCGCGTAAGAAAATATTACGGCATTAGGAGAAAGAGTGAATTTTTCGAATTTTATTCATCTCCACTTCTGGTTGAACTGTCAGTCTCCGATTGCTTAACAAATTGTCCTCGGACACGGGGCCTCTGTTCTGCTAATTTTTTTCTGGTCTGGTATCTCACCTGAAAAAAAAAAAAAAAAAAAAAAACATTAGGACACTCAAGATGATAGAAGCGTCGAATGATAGGAAGGAAACCATTTTTATTAAAGAAAAAAAAAAATTGTGATCTTCGTTTTCAATAATGACTAATTTGAAATATTAATGCACAACGATGCAGTATTGAAACATGGGCATACCTTTGTGTGGGACCTCAATAACATTATTTGTATTCTTGTTTTACATTAAACAGTCACTAGTTGAAAAGAACTTGATCAAATACCATAAATGCAAGCACATTGCGATCGTGCTATTTGTGACCTCAACCATGTACTATTTCCTATGTGATCTAAACAAATATTTACCAGATCTTGCATCTGTTAGTCCTAAACTTAAGCAGGTCATTCTGTTGAGGTTAAACCTAAGTTCGTCACTTTCCTCCAAGGCTCGATGAATCAAGAATAGAGATACCGACTTTTATGGTTGAAGATTATATAGATTAATATTCCATGCAGATCTCCTGAATATAGTGTAAAATACTTGCAAATATTGACCAAACTTCGGATTGACATTTACACAACATATAAATAAGAGAGGGAAAACCAACAGAACCAACTACCAAAAACTCTCCTAAACATAAGAAGCACAGAAGTTGGTTTTCAAAATGTTCAACAGAGGTCAAGCTTTAATCTCTCTCCGCTGTACATATATGAGACTAATAACCTTTCTAAATCTCAATAATTTATTCTAGGAAAATATCTTAATAACATTCATTCAACTTCACATGAAAAATTCATCCATGAGAGAGAGAGAGAGAGGGAGAGAGAGAGAGAGAGAGAGAGAGAGAGAGAGAGAGAGAGAGAGAGAGCAAATGAAGGCCAAATATCAGATAAAGCAGCAATGGTAAATGGTCTATAATAACTAATTAATTTTACCACCTTCTTAAAGCATCTCTCTTTCCTCTTCTGACGGAACTTCAACAAGGCAGCCTCCCGCTGTGCTAATCTGATCTCATCCGCTTTATTTCCGATACCACTGCCGCTAGCTTCCCCACTACCGGTTTTCCCAGCTTGCCCGGCATCACTTTCTCTATTATTTCCCACAGCATTAACTCCACTGCTCCCATTTTGTCCATTACTACCGTGATTACTTCCCGAGGCACTTCTGTTCAGACTGCAGTTCACCATATTATTGGCATCCACCGACCCACCTAATAAGTTTGTGGACCCACAGTGTGGAGCATCCAGAGCCAACTGCTTCACGGATGGATCTTCATGATTGGACGAGGGTTGATTTTCCACGTTCTGACATTGATGGTGATTGTGAAAATTTTGGTGATGAGTATGTGGAATTTGGAGTTCTTGGTATGTGTTCGGTTGCATGCCACTTGGAAAGAGACCAGTCTGCTGTTGACTGTATTTGAGGTCATTCTTCACAGGCCTGAAAGCGGAAAGGTGTATGCCATTGATTGCGGATGTTGCTTCGGATTTATCTTTGGGGAGCTTGTTGCTGGTGGATCCCATGTCTATGTTATTGCTAACTCCGTTAGAATTTTGATATAGAATATGGTCGGTCGAGAATATTTGCATGTCACCAGCCGACTCTCGTTTTGCGGCTTCATTACTGTTGTCGAGCACGGAGCTGCTTCCTGTTAATGCATTGGGAGACTTGAAAATATTTACGGACGAGTTATACCTGCATTTCGAGGAATTAAGTAGTCAAAAGGCCAATTTTAATAGTTGATACGTCTATAACAATGCGAGAAAGAAGAAGGAAATTCAGATATATACATCATCATCATCCCCATCATCATCATCGTGGATAGATTTATAACACAAGAATTTCAAAGGAAATTCAGATATATGCATCATCATCATCATCATCTCTTTGAAATTCAGATATATGCATCATCATCATCATCATCATCATCATCATCATCATCATCATCATCATCATCATCATCATCATCATCATCATCATTATTATTATAGTTATAATTAGTTGCCCCATAACCACGAGCTTGTAGCTCAAGTGGTGCAGCTCACTGTTGAAGGGCATTGTACTGGTTGATACAGGGTTCAATGCATGTTCCTTTCAGTCTCATAGGTATTTATTTAGGCTTCTCTACCCGCCAATTTCCCGGTAACTAAAGAAAAAGTTAATTTTGTCCCACATTGATAAGTTACTGGGATATTATTGTCCATACGAGTGGGTTGGGCAGTCTCTCTCCCTTTGAGCTAATTTTTGGGGATTAGTTCTACCCAAGCCCATTTAAATTTTTATCATATGCAGACCTTGAGAAGGCTGATTGCTCAGACCGGCGCAAGACACATCGCTCGTCTTGGATTGACCCACCAATGTCCTGAACTCCTCTAAGCCTCTTTAAACTAAGCTCAACGTTTGGTTCTTTACAATCGTCAGTTGCATTATTGTTGATGTCCAATTTTTTAGCCACTTCTCTAGTAGAATCAGATTCTCTGCCAGATTGGTTGGCTTGTCCCTCCCCAGGATTTTCTGATTTAGGCACAACATTTCTATGGACAGTTGTTTCCAATTCATTGCCATTGTCTACACATTAAGTTTGTTTCAGATCATGTTAAGGCACAAAAAATATTCAGAAAATTAAAAAAATAAAAAATAAAAACCAGATATAGGTTGTCCTTTCAATACCAGGAAGCTGTCGCATGTGGCCTTCCCTAGCTGCACTTAGTTGCACCCTGTTGTAGTCAGAGTGCTCGGCATTTGAGCGAATAACTTGCGCGCAAGTGCTGTCTGGACACTCGGCTACATGATCCACTGGCGATAAAGCTTGAGAGCTGTCAACTTCTACAGCTTGCTTTGTCCAGGAGCTCTGTGAAAAAGCAGTAGAGTTATTGTATTATGCAGAAACATCAATAATTCCCCTAGCTAAAATATACATCCTAAAGACTTAAAAAAATCTACCCAGCTAGAAAGCATATGTAGACAAAGACTATTAAGCAAGGTTCTTATGTTTGGCATTTAAAATCTTGCCGTGTGAATCTGGTATTAGGGCAAGATGCATAATAAAGTGTTACAAAACTCTTTAAAAAATCTATGAGAAACCACTTAAAATATTGTCTGAACCAGAACAAAAAGCAACTTTTCACATCCTCAATACAAATTTATTTTGAAAGTTCATACTGTTCTTTTTCTTTTTGTTCTTTTTTTACTTGGACAGAATATTCTTCTATAAAATAATGATCAATGGTTTCTCTTTTTATTTTCAGATAAGAAACAAAATTTGTTAAGAAAAGGGTATCATGGCACAATAGGGATAAGGAATCCTCTAAAGACTGCCATAAAAACCTATCAACATATGTTACACAGCTCCCATGTCTAACAATATCACACACAGAGCCTCAAGATTAACAATCCACCAAGCATCATCTATTTTTAAAAATGCCATGATATAAAATACTATGTGCTGCATGCTGATAGTTCATCGGGTGAACCGAAGATTAGAACTACACCACCTGTGCCCCACTACCATCATCACTTCCATCTCCAGCATTTAATCCATTGCTCGCATCATTTTCCCCATCATCACTTGCACTGTTGCCTGATTGATCAGTACCTTTTGATTTCACAGATTTTTGAGTTTGTGTACCACTTTCACTCCCACTTCCACTAGACTGAAAAACATATCAAATTAAGAGGATATATGTGCATAACAAAAATTACAACAGACATGTTTAAATAGAACAGCAAAAAGTGCAGATAATCTGCGCTAAAACAGAAGTTACAAAATAAGTTTGGTCAGTCAAGTAGACACCTTTGCTGAGTTGCCTAGATTGATCGTTAAAGTCTTAACACTTACCTCATCTTTTCGTTTTAGCTATGCTTTAATCACGCTAAATTTATTAATGGATCATGTCATTATCCACGAAGCAGAGAGAGAGAGACAGAAGACGGATGGTGAAGCATAGTTTGGCCACTTCCATACTACCAATGGTAGTAAATGCTCAAACATGAAAAATCAAACTTATTATGCAGAATAGTATAGCCAATCAGGACCAATTAAATAACAAGGTGACTTCGACAAATGAAATTTGAGGTCGACTCGCGTGAAACCAGGGGAGTATTTCATGTGTTAAGGTTTTCAGTGTAATGCTCGGTCATTTTTACCACATAAATGTTTCATTTTTGTTAAGAGATCAAACAATTTTATGATGACTTACACTGTGGCACCTCCTCCATACATGCTGCCACAGGTTCTTAAGCTCATTCTTCCTTATAGGTTTGACCAAAAAGTCGACTGCACCTTTAGAGAGACATTTAAATACTAAACCCATTGAATCATGAGATGACATCACTGCACATAAATTCTTGGAGTCAGTGTCATTAGCACCTAAATGAGGCAATAAATAAATGTAACAAGGGCTTAATTACTCACTAATTACAGGAATAGTCTTGCGAGTTTTGTGGCTCATAATCTTACATAAAAGGCCTATCCCAGATAAAAGAGGCATTACCACCTCTGTCAAGACAATATCAATATGGTTGTTTAAATCTTCTAATATCTTCCATGCTTGCAGTCCATTAGCTGCATTTACCACTGCATTGACCAGTCAACAAGAATAAGATGCATATTGATTATAAATAGATTAAACACAAGTCCGAAAATAATATGAACACAGAACCCCCAAAATGTTGGGTTTACTTCTTAGCTTAGATATTCTCCAGTTGTTGTCTTTTGAGGTGTAACTTGGAAGCTAGAAATCATGAAAGATAATGCGAAGTCATGAAAGATAATCCACTCAGAAAGGTGTAATTGGTGCCTATATACATCCATTCCTATACTTAATGAAATATTAGGTACAAAAATTTACTTGAATTTTTTTATGCAACACTAGAAAAAGAATAAAATATATGGTTATTGAGTAAAAAAAAATAAAAAATGCTCTAAAGGTCTTGGAAGTTTCTACTCTACATTAGCAGTCGAATTGTCTACTTTTTAGTCCACAGGGAAAAATGATAGAAAGGAGAAGTTTATCATTTCAGCTGATGTGATTGATAAATAATCCAGACAGAGGAAAACAACCTCCAAATACACACCACCATGACATACCTAACCAAAATGACATGGTAACTGCTGTTAAAAGTATCACTTAGTAAGTCTTGCACAGCTTATACTTCGACCAAAATCCACTACATCTTATCATCTTATATTCATAAAAAGAATTATCACGACAAATGGTTGACACATTCGATCCAAATCATAGGGAAGGTCAGAGACTTTAGACTTTATCTGGATTAATTATTTGAAGTTAATCCAAGATTAACAACAAATCTAATGACCTTTTCCGGGCAATGTCATGATGTAATGGATTTTAAAACCCTGCGCACCTCTTCTGAAATATTTACCAAATTAGTGGGCTTAATGAATTTCAAATCTATGATAACCATCCCCTCAAATCCAAATCCGACCATGCAAGTGCAACACTGTGGTTACTCATCAAACACATGAAACTTACACTATGAATGGACCGGCTAGAAAACTATGTTATTTCAGTTGAGTCACTAGTTTAGCTCATATACACCTGGAGTTCATTGACCAGTGATAGCAGACTGTGTGATTTTCTTACAAGCAGATCCCAACCACATCTACAAGCAAGTTTTAATATGTTTCCTAGCCACATATCCTTCTCAATCTAACACTGCAAGCTCCAACAACACTTTCCTGTTCGACGTTACCTTCATAATTGCAGTTTCTAAGCAATGCAGTGACAACATGGCGAGTAGAGTCATCATTCTCAACCAACAAGACCCGAATGGACCTCACATGAAGAAACCTCTCCCAACAAACCACCGAGCCTTGTGTTAGCTGTTGCTGCTGCACCTGCACAACACCAGAACCCTGGGATCTGCTTGTGGCAGCTCCATGGTTAGCATCAACCTTCAATTCTCCAACTTGAGTTGAACTACCTCTCTCGCCCAAAACTCTATTATCCGGCTCAGTGTCCTCATCGAGTGACTCCTTTTCCCCGTCAACATCAATATTCATGGATACACACTCCCTGTCAACCAAATTCAAAGAAACAAAGTTGGCGGGGAAAGATGCACAAATTTATCCTCCTCCTCATAAAACCTCCGATATTCCTTTGTCTGAGATTAGAAACAGGGCATATAGCTAATAGTAGTGATTCTTTCTTCAGGGGCCTCAAACTCTACAACACAAACCATCCTAATTCACAAGGAAAACTTGTCAAAGAACCAAAACACATGAGGAGAGTAACAAAAA